GCAAGCTCTTATATGGCAAAGTGTTGTGACAAGAAGTCCAATTCCTTTTAGGTACTGGTTCCAATAATCCTCCCACCAAAGGATTAAAGCAAGATTTGACAGCTTTTAAGTTTTAAAGGAAGCTTTGTTGTGCCAAATATGACCCTAGTGCTGCTCCAACATCTATTTCTATATGTATATATATATAAATAGAAAAATTATAAATCCACTAAATTATAATCGGAATGAAATCAAACAAAGAAAATATTATTATGATTTGATTTGATTCGATTCAATTTTATGTTAAAAAAACATGATAGTGTTGAATATCTATCTTTAAAATTGATTTAGATAGAGAAAATATTTTACTTTCCTTTAGTGTTTCATCATGAAATTAATAGTACTTACTTATTTCAGCATAACTTAATATTTTTAAATTTTATTAATATTTTAACTTATAATTAACAATATTTGTTTTATACAATTTCATTATCTTTATTATTAAATATTTTAGTACTATTTTGTGTGGCCCGCTATCTTTATTATTCATTTTGTCTTCTTTTATTTGTCTATACTTCTCATAATTTCCGTGGATCCTTTTTCTTGTCAAGGCATGCATTTTTTCTTTTTCTTTTTTTTTTTACAAGAAAATGAGAATTATTATTTTTAAAATTCAAGTCTAATATCGAAAAGATAAATCCCTAATGAAAAGAAAATGAAGTGAAGAAGAAAACAAAGCATAGAGATATGTACCAATGAGATAAAGTAGGGATTGGAAACTCTATGGACCACATTGTCATGGCTACAATTTGCACATAGTGAAGAAAAGATTGAGAGGGACAATGAAAACAATTGGATGGTTGGGGCTATTACTTTGTCACTGTCGAGTACCCAACCTTATAACACTATCACTTTTTATTTTTAGGGTCTCAACGCTATATAGAGTAGAATTATAAATTTAATTTTTTTTATATATTCATGTGAACCAAGTTATATAGAACTTCATTTTTTACACAATGAAAGCATTTAGAAGTGGACTCAAAATTTAAAGATGTAAGAACATTATTATCTTTAACATAAATATCAGTAAAAATTTCTATAATGATGTTGGAAATTAAAATATCGTATTCGATTGGTCATTGATAGTGTGAGCAATAATATAAACACAAGTATATAGGTCAAATATGATTTCTATGTTAATAATTGAATTTTAATATAAATGAACCAATTGAGAGAGATAGCTTAGTGGTTAAGGTAGTTTAAAATATATGTACATGCTATCACAATTTAATAGTATATACTAATTTCTCTCTCTGTATATATATATAACACACGTCCTATTACCATCTATTTATAACTATAACTATACATATATAGATTTAAAAAATGTTATAATACATAAATATAACATTTAATTTGACGTAAGTTGACAACTATTATCTTTAATTTTTGGTTTGCATAAGCAGACACTTGTATAAAATTAATCAAACGAAAACACATTTGTCCTACATGACAATTTTGTGTCCTACATGGCATTTTATGTGTATTATGCCATTTAGGATATATGTATTTACTTATTTAATTTTATACAAATTTAAATATCTACTTGTGCACACTCAAAATTAAAAAGCATAATTGTCCGCTGAAATCAAATTAAAAATCATGTTTATGTATTATGTCAGAAAAACAACGGATTCAATTTCTATTCACACACTTTTACTTATAAAATTGGATTCATTTGAAGATGAGAGACAATAAATGTGGATATAATTAGGCATATCACATATGTGTGATTTGGTGCTGACTTTTGCACAACATTAATCAGGATTCTTTTGGAGCAAGAATCATGAATCCATCTACTTTGGCAACAAAAAGAAAAAGTCAAACACTACTTAAATCCTATCCACTTACGACAATGACAATATCCAAAAATGATGTTTTTAGAGTACAAAATTAGTGGAAATGGACTTAAGGGTTTGACTACAACATTATTTTAGTTAATCTTAATCATTCAATTAATACTTGTCCGGCAATAACATAATAATATCCACTTATGTTTCTTTGTTTAGAGATCAACCTACAAAATAATTCTTCAAATAAACAAGTCAACCCTACATAATCACTTCATGTTTATAATTTTCCAATCCCAGTGGAGAAAATTTCGTGTCACCAAATTGAAATTAAGAAATAATATGTATATTATATAATAGCTAGATTCCAATAAAGTAAAATAGATACTCTTAACTTAAAAGACAGAAAGTAGAGCCTTAATTAGAAGTTAGAATCACTTACATTTTCAAATTTAATTTAAACGCACTTATGAGCTAAATTGCGATAATAAATTTATTTTATTTGCGCAAAATCTTGTGTAAGCCATTGTTTATATATTCTTTTATTGCCTCTAGAAGATTGAAAAAATTAATGTCATCTTATGTCTTTTGAAGATGATCTCGTGCAGTAACGCACATGTTGAAAATCAAATTCAACAATCATCCATGGGTTGTGCCGTTGTAGTAAGATTGTTGGGATTTATCCATTATTATTAATTAAATTTCGATTCGAACTCTAGAATTAGAAAAATCATATAGAGTATGCTACCTCGGAAATGAGCCCTATAATGTTCAAATTCGAATAATTAGTAAAAGATTCCAGTCTCCAATATAAATATGGACCACCAACTTCTTCATTTTACGTTTTTTAAAGAAAGATCAAGCATGAAAGTTTTTTTTTTCAATTGTTAATGTTGTTTCCGTGGCAGACAATTCAGCCACCCCTCTCACTTATTCCTATTGTCTATGTCTATCCAATGAACCTGCACTAGTTGTTGCAATTTGTATTTTCATCATACCATACGATGTACTACTGTTCTAAACATGTAATTCCTCGATCTCTAAGAATAACTTAGATCAGAGTGGTCAAAAGTCATGACGTTTAATTTTTATTTAAATTAGGACATTACCTTTATATGAAAGAAATGGATCTGGAGCATAACTTAACCTAAAAATTAGCTCATAAAATGTAAATAGTAAGAAAATAAATGTTTCATTACTCGATTACCGATGTTGGAAACTTAGTAACCTTTATATGCTCAATATTGTATACGGTTGGAGTTTGAAGTATATAACATGAGACAAAATTATATTATAAATCAAGAATTGAGATGGTTGAACTCTATTTCATATGAACAAATGAATTTTTAAATTAACTCAACCCTCGAAGCTAGTCATGAGTTGATTGTCAAAACTATAGAAGGAAATAAACAACTCATCCAAAAGTGGGGTGGGGCCACATTCAAGCAATGGAGTTCATATGAGCTTAGCTTGTTCAAATTTTTTACTCATTTTACATGTAGATTACAAGTTAAAAATAACAAAAAAATGCTTGATAAATATGTATTTGATTCTCAAAATTTAAATTAAACGAAACTTGGTTGACGTTTTGTTTCATTGCTTCCCTTGAAGGTGGGGGGACAAGCACGAGTGAGATTCTATAGTTGAAACTTCAGATTTGCTATGCTTTTCAAATAGCTTTGGCGTCTAAATCAAGACTACTTTGACAACTTTTTTTATGAATCATGAATGTACATACACCTTAAGTACATCAATTTTCACTACGTGAGTTTTGATCCTACAATAACTTCAAATTAATATAGGTTTACAATAAGAAATTTAATAAATTTCTTTCGATAAAAATTATCTAAATAAAAGCTATTGAATTCTCGTGAATCAACAAAATTGATACGTAGATCTACCATTGTCTAATCTGATTTAATTATTTAATTTGATACAAAGAGGAAACTAACTTAGTATATATACTTTAACATTGAATTCCTCCATATGTGCAACTTCGATCATGAGTGGTATGATGGAAAACATCATATAGATTAGAGTAATAAATAATATATATTCATTTAGTTTCAATTTTAGTGACACATTTCAAATATCAAGATTCAAATAAGTCTATATTTGATTATATATCTTAAAAATATTTTGAATTATTAATTATTGTGATTTATAATACTTTTTTAAGTAGTTTATAAATATATAAATTTTATTTTTAAAAAATAAAAATTTCATGTGCAAATTAAGTTTAAGATTAAGAATCAATTGTCGTTTATGCATTAAAGGTGGTCATAGTCGATCATCAAACTCATTGTACGCAGTATGTTGATGTATTACTATATTCTTACCTACTTGTACAAAGCTAATTATTATCAGTACATGGTAGGATCATCATGTCACCTAACTAAAAGGTCATTCATAACGTAATTACAACTAACCAAAAAATAATTGTTTTGTCTCTTAAAATAAATCCACTTATTGTTTTCTTCATAAAAAAGAAAAACATTTGTTTGAAACCACCAAATCAACACATAATCTTCCAAAACAAATTCAACCATAAGTTAATCCTTTGATACAAAATCCAGCTCCAAGAATATCGTCTAATGATCAATAAAGTAAATTGAGAATCATGATATATAATGATTAAATTTTAGTTGTTAAAGACAAAAAAAATAAAGTGACTTATTCTAAAATATTATAGTATTGATCGATAAAGTACCTGATTGGTAAAATTAGTTGAGAATTAAGCTGATAAAAGATAACAAACATAACGTGAAATTAGTTAAGAATCAGAACATGTATAAACTTATACCTTTTTGGAACCCCAATATAACCCACAAGCATTTACAACCTCTGTCCTTTGGGTGAGTACACTGTGGTGAGCACTAGGTAAACAATTCCACTTATAATAACCTACAAACGACACAAGAAAATATAATTCTTTTTTGTTTTATAACTTATTAATCAACAAGTCCGATTTTGCTCACTAAAAGATCATCACTAGCTTATTACACATAATCTATTATTATTACAACATAAAATATATTTTATGAAATTAATCAAAATAGTCACTTTTAACGTAATAATTAAGAATATGGAATTGGAATTATCTCATAACAACTCTGGGCGGTATAAATAGACATACACATCACATCATTTGGCCCCATCTTTTGGTTATCTGTTTTATCATCTTTCTCTTTTATGGAAAGCAAAAAAAACATTCAGTTCAGCCTTAATTTAATTTCCACAGAAGCCAACGTCTACTCTTTCCTTTTCTTTTTTTTTTTAAATTACATCTCTCCAACGCCATTCATAAAACAAGAAAAGAGAACAACAAATGCCGTTTCTCAGTAATTTAAACAAAAAAAATTCTCATGCAAAGTTTTCATCTTTGAGCTAACTAAATTCTTCAACTAATTTAATGGGTGGTTGCACATCGAAACCTTCCCCTGAACCCAATTATTCCAACAATGATCTCTATGCTCCCGACGGAACTGCTATTCCGGCTAAAGATAATAACAGCGAAGATAGTAAGAGCAAGGAGGGAGCTGAAGTGGGTAAAAAGTCGCCGTTTTTTCCATTTTACAGTCCAAGTCCGGCGCATTATTTTTTTTCAAAGAAGTCACCGGCGAGATCTCCGTCGAATTCTACGCCCCGGAGGTTTTTTAAGCGGCCGTTTCCTCCGCCGTCTCCGGCGAAACACATACGAGCTGTGCTAGCACGGCGGCATGGTTCTGTGAAACCCAATGCAATTCCGGAAGGAAATGAATTGGAGGGGGGTGGGGGTCTTGATAAGAGTTTTGGGTTTTCGAAGAATTTTGAAAACAAGTATGAACTTGGAGAAGAAGTTGGGAGAGGGCATTTTGGGTATACTTGTAAAGCTAAGTTCAAGAAGGGTGAACTTAAGGGACAAGAAGTTGCAGTAAAAGTCATACCCAAAGCAAAGGTTTGAAATTTTTTGTTAAGTTTGATCTTTGAGTTAATTGAATTAACTTTGCTTACTGTTTCTTGGCTTATAGTGGACAGATCTGCTCAGCAGGGAAATAATATCTCTTTAAAGTTCATAATTTTAACAGTTCAATTAATTTGAACATATTTGAAGGTCGTGATAATCGAATGGTGTAGAAAAATATTATTTGTGTTCTTCGTGATAAAAATTTGAATCTTTTTGAGTTTGGAGGAATGCTGAAATTCAGTAGCTGTGAATTAGGGATAACATGTAAACCTTATCAAATGGATCCATCATGTTCTGTATGTCTCGGGTTGACCGATTATGTAAGTTCGGAGCTGATAAAGCGAAACAGGGAAGAAGCCACTAGCAGCTTGAAATATATTCGGCATGATCTTTGGTATTTCTAGTTAGTCTTAAGGATCCAATTGAATTTTCGTAAGAAGCACACTTATCATTTGCAGATCACTAGAATTCTGTGTCTAATAAATGTTGTTTCTTCAATTCTCAATTTGATGCTCTAAAGGTAGCATTAACTGGGAGCGGGCATCATCAGGGATTTGAACCCTGAGGAAAAGGTCATCATCAGTAGTAAAGCAACCAGCTCCAACCAATCTCCTTTTCCCTTCCTTTCAAAAACCATTCATATTCTAGAGTTTATAGGTTCATATTGCTGAACAATTGCATTCTGAATTTCTAAGATGATAGAGGGAAAGAGCTCCAAGTTGGAATCCCAGTGGAGGCAAAAGCATTCTGTCTGACTGTCCAAGCCTTGGCGGATAGAGTTAACCCAGTAATACTGCTGGTGGGAGGTAGCAAGTGGTGTGGAATTAGTCGACCCAGACACTACAGTTATCAAGATAAAATAATCTTATGATTGCTTTATCAATATCATCAAGTTCAGCTGACATTATGTATGATGGAACTTTAATATTCCTGTAGTTGGAGTCATTTTATGCGTTTTTCAGAATATTTGGCGTGTATGTTTGTCTCTGCAGTTTGGTGGAAAATAACTGCTGTTGGATGGAACTGATCTGCAAAAAAAAAAAAGAACAAAGAAAATTTGTGTTGTTTAAGCTGCTTTCTTGTATTTCTGGCATTTTAATTGTGCGTTGACTATGTCGGGGCATCCTTGGGTTATATTTCTCCTCCAGATTCCTCTGAGTTATCTGATACTCATCTTTACTTTTTTTTTCAGATGACCACGACGATAGCCATTGAGGACGTGAGAAGAGAGGTGAAGATATTAAGAGCTTTAACGGGACACGAAAATCTAGTAAAATTTTATGATGCATACGAAGATCACGAAAATGTCTACATAGTGATGGAGTAAGCTTAAGCCACTCAACTCCTGTTGCATTTGTATCTATTGATGGCATACAGAACCTAAGTTTTAGCCTAAAGTATATTTTGTATGCATTATCAATCTGGGTCAAGTGGTATCATATGAACGTTTCTTCCTTTGATGTTTCAGTAAAATATGGATTTGGTTATCACATTTTTTCTGCAGTTGCTATTAAAAGAATTTTGTTTGACTTGCTAATTTTCATGTTCGCATTGCTCTTTTGCAATAGAGCTGATCAATCTTGTCGAATTTCAGGCTATGTGAAGGAGGCGAGCTTTTGGATAGGATACTTTTAAGGTAATCCCTGTTGTTGTTGTGAATAAAAATTTCTTTTATTTTTCAACCTTGTCAGTGTTGACTCTTAGTAAATCCTTTTTATGAGATCAAGAATATAAATTTCAATAATATATTAAGTAGCATCCTTCTGTGTTGCAGAGGTGGAAAATACACTGAAGATGATGCAAGGGCTGTGTTGACACAAATATTGAAAGTTGTTGCATTTTGTCATCTTCAAGGTGTGGTACACCGGGATCTTAAACCAGAGGTGCGAAAGTTTACTAGTTCTAAAATGCTTGCTTAGAAAGAACATACATCAGTTTATATAGTGAATCATCTCCCTAACCCTCCGTACCCCAATATAAAAAATAAAAAAAGGAAAAAGGAAGCCCATCACTTGAATGGATTAGGATGAGATGTTAATCAGTTTCAAATGGTCACATTTATTGCTCAAGGATATGGCATGTGCTACTGGGAATTAAGATTATTTTTCAAAATCAGCTATTCTTCTTGCATTTAATGAAACTATAATTTGTTAGAAAAGATTTCCTATCTGCTTTGTTTTCCTCATTTCGATAACTCTTTCAGCTCTAACTGTACCTTTTAATGGACCAGAATTTCTTGTTCATGTCCAAGGAAGAAAATGCACAACTTAAAGCCATCGACTTTGGGTTGTCTGATTTTGTGAAACCAGGTTTGTCCATTTGCACTTGATATTAATGCTAATACTTTGTGACTTTGGGAACCCCTCCTTAAAGAAAAAGAATATAAATAGAGGAAAAGAAATATAAAAGGAACTGGTTATTCATATTATTATTCAGTAGCTACACAACTTGTGATTTAACTTGCAAACATATTATTTTGCAGATGAAAGGCTTAATGATATTGTTGGTAGTGCATATTATGTAGCGCCAGAAGTTCTACACAGATCTTATAGTACAGAGGCTGATGTGTGGAGTATAGGTGTTATTTCATATATCTTGCTGTGTGGTAGCCGTCCCTTTTGGGCTCGAACTGAGTCTGGGATATTTAGGGCTGTTCTCAAAGCTGATCCAGGTTTTGAAGAACAGCCTTGGCCTACATTATCTTCTGAAGCAAAAGACTTTGTGAAACGTCTCTTGAATAAGGATCCACGGAAAAGAATGACAGCAGCTCAGGCCTTGGGTGAGTTTCTTGTGTCAACTTAGAAAAGGGCGATTCTGTTCTTTATTTTTCTGAAACTTCTGGAAGACTTACTGTTTCAGGTCATCCTTGGATAAAGAATAGTCATGACGTAGAAGTGCCTTTGGATATACTGATATTCAAACTCATGAAGACTTACATGCGTTCATCTGCTCTTTGGAAAGCTGCTCTAAGGGTAGGTGTGATGCAATTGAGAAAGCTCTTTTGTTTCTCTTTAGTCTTTTATGTACAATTCTATCAATGGAGTGTTAACGCCTATTATTGAGCAACTCTAGTGTTTGCTTTCTATTTATTTACATACTTTTCATTTGACTTCTCTGCGTCTCTAATTTTCTGTCATTGGAGTTTTTGCAGGCGTTGTCAAAGACATTGACCGTAGATGAGTTGGTCCATTTGAAGCAGCAGTTTGCACTGCTGGAGCCAAACAAAAATGGCACAATAAACTTGGATAACATTAAAGCGGTTTGTCTTCTTCCAAATTTAATAGGTAATTGTTTCTATGGTTTTATGGATGTTTCTGACCTTTATAAGTATGATATCTCCAGGCCCTGATGAAATATGCAACAGATGCCATGAAGGAGGCACGCATTCATGATTTCGTTGCTTCAGTATGCACTAAGTCCTTCATATTTAGTTATCTAACTGAATCTTGTTAAGCTCTAACTTGTGTTGCTAAGTTTTCTTGCCCCTCTTGTCATGTCAGCTTAATGCACTGCAATACCGAAGGATGGATTTTGAGGAATTCTGTGCTGCTGCATTAAGTGTATATCAGCTTGAGGCTCTTGACCAATGGGAACAACATGCGCGCTGTGCATATGAAATTTTTGAGAAAGATGGCAACAGAGCAATTGTCATAGAAGAATTAGCTTCGGTAATTACCAATTACCTGTTTTTTATTCTCAAATTTTAACTGATCTCTCCGTTTGTGTCTCATATAAAAAAATCTCTTTTTTTTCTTCTTCTGTTGGGACGGATCGGAGCATTATCCTTCTTTGCCTTTCTTTGAGAATGATAGGAGCGTTACTCCATTCCCTTCTTTTTTGTTTTATCTTTTTCCATTTCTTACTTTTTATTGGGAGAGGGATGGAGCACTATTTCTTTTGAGGGCTGGAAGCATGTAAGTAATTAGGAAGAGAACCTGACTAGTTAGTCATTTTTGAATTTCTGATCCAGGAACTTGGTCTTGGTCCATCTGTTCCTGTTCATGCTGTTCTTCTTGACTGGATCAGACACACTGATGGAAAGCTTAGTTTTCTTGGTTTTGCAAAGTTGTTGCATGGTGTGTCAAGCCGCTCAATCACAAAAGTTCAATGATTCCAGCTTCATATACCTAGCATGTACGTTAGTGATATGTGATGCAGGGACCAGTATGCGGTTCCTTTGAGATGAATTCCTAGCAGAAGATGTTTTTATCTTGGCATTGGCACCATGTCATATAGTTTTTGTTTTCCTTGTGTAAATGAATAGTTAGTTTCTGTTTGGTTACAGATGATAGTATATCTCTCAGCTGGTTCCTAGACACTTATACAAGATGTTCTAACCTATTAGACAGCCCTCCCTGACCACTGCCATTGCATTGTATGATTGTATCATCGTGTTTGTAAACATACGCCTTTATAGTTGAAAAAAATTCATCACTTTTTTGCTTCTCAACCAAACTGGAGAACTTGTGGCTTTGAAACGACTCTGCCCCCTGAGTTAATCATCAACTTTTCAGGTAATGGAACACATATAGCCTTCTGTCAAGTGTTGCTGATTAGCTCCTATCTTGTTCAACAGTAAAAATTGAGATTTACATCATAACACAAGTATGATATGATACGCCTTTCCTTCGTTTAAACGGAAGTACATCCACGATGTTGTATACGTTCTCAACAGTCTCAGGCAGATTAATGTAACAGGCAATCTGCTGAGCAAAACTTTGTTGAAACTAAAAATTGGTCATTAGTTTTCTGTTTTTGTTTGATTGCTTTTTTACTCAACAATCTTGTTTGGAAAAGCAATGAACTAAAGTGTGTCTTACCTCTAACATTTTTCAGTAAAAAAAAGACAGTTTTAATTGGGCTTCTATTAGCCTTTCTTAAAGCTCCATCAAAATAGATTGGGCTTCTAAATTTGTCTGTATAAGCCTTTCTTGTAATTAAAGAATGAATTGAAATCCAAAATGTTTATTATCAATATGAAAATATCTTACATCTTAACAAGTACATTTCATGTCAATTTGACAATTGTGATGGGTCGTATAATCACTGAACTTTCGTTAGACCTTTTGCGGGGCTTCAGCTAAAGCTACAAAAATTACACCAGGCGATAATTGAACGTGGTCTTGAATTTTTAACTTCGCTTATGATTACCTTAAAAGTAAAAAATTTCAATAAACAACTATGTTAAGAAAACAACAACGACAAAAATATTGATGAACATTATTTCATACAGATGAGAAAATTAATAATTTCAAAGCAGGTCGATAAAAGAAACAGCAAAAGTGAAAAGACAGGCCAAAATACTGTATGGGGAATGAGGATTTGATTTGATGAATCTAATGATTTATAAGTCGTTAGCGACCAAAAAACAATATTGGGTGGACCAGAATATGACTGCTAATTATTTGTTTTGGTTGGTCCAATATTATCTTAGATGACATATCATTGTACACTCAATGGGCTCTTTTTCTTTTGAGTTACTCCGGTCTCGTCCGTTTATTTTTATTTATCATGTTATATTTTTTAAAATTTAAATATTAATTTAGTTAATTTTAAATTAATTTGATATTCTGAATAAAAGATTTAAATATTCAAAAATTATACAAACGTACTATAAATTGTTATCTTTTACTTATTAATATAAAAAATATATTATAAAATATTAATTAATATTTATATCATTTAACTCTAGAAAAAAAATTAAATATGAACGGAGAAAGCATGTGATCGGAGAAAGTGCCTTTGTGTGTTCTCTATTACAACACGAATTCCTATTCTAACCGTGCAAACATCTGCCCCTCAAATCATATGCCTTTTCTTCCAGCTGAAAGTGACATAAAGAGCTACCACATCATAAAAATAGTTACCAAAAATATACTTATACTCTCTCCATTTCATTTTAAAATAGTTACCTAGTATATACTTATACTTTCTTCATTTCATTTTATCTGTTATCTTTTTCTATATATATTGCAAAATAGAGTGATGCTTTTTATATATTTGGCTAGAAAATGGTTTTACTATTTTTAAGAAACCAGCCAAATGTGTAATTTACCTTATTTTCAAAATGGGTTGGATTTGTTAACTTATTTGTATGTTTTTTAAGATAATATATATATACATATAATTAATTAGTTTATTTACTTTTGAGTTGATGTGGAGTTTTATGAAATAAAGAATACTTTGAGTTTGTGGTATTAAACTAGAAATCTATATGTAGAAAATATCAAAAGATCCTCTAATATCAAACCCACAATTCTAGCATGAAAAACATTTTTACATTCCTTTTTTTATCACTAAACCATCAATTTAGGGTTCACAAACTAATATCCATATATATATTTATTTAATTTTCTAATACAAATGTAGGATATATGAAAAAGAAATTAATTTTGTTCAAACTATGAATTCCGCCTAGCTCCATCTTTATTTATATAATGTCATATATCAACAATTTAAATGATGAACCCACGAGAAAATTAATATATATATATAAATGAAAAGGCTACTATGTATATGCAGGATAAGGGATAAAATAGGATCATTAGATAATCATAGAGCAAAATAAGAATAAAATATTAAGATAACAATGTAATTACCGAACAAAATAAAAAAAATTCGTGATTATCTAATGATGAATTTAAATGATATTATGTAATAAAATTAAATAACAATCTAAATAAATATTATATTTAAACTAACACTACAATACCAAACACGTACAACCATCCGAACAAGGAGTTTAACAAACCGAACTAGCTGTTCGAAAATATATATGCAAAAATTACACTAATAACAAAAAAAAAAAAGAGTTATCAATGTTTAAAAGTAAAATCCAATAACTATTGTTATTACACATCCAAACCAAATTAACTAAATCATTCACACTCTAATAATAATAAAAAAATGTCTATAAAACACATATCATGCCCTTTTGTAGATAATAAAAGCTAGTAAAATATAGAATAATATAATTTCACACCTGTAAAATTAATAAGGAATATATAAAAGTTTATGATTTGACCTTAGATGTATCTTTGGGTGGAGGGGTGAAGATCAATCTCTTGGGTCCAAGCAGATCGATCTTGGATATGCAAATGCCAGTAGGTCTGAGCCACCCCATCTGGGTCCATTAATTCCTCTCCGGCCCATACGCCGGTTTGTTGCTGCTCTGGTTCCCCAACCAACAACCTCTGTTGTGAACTTGACCCTATTGCCCCCCTGTTATATATATTTTAACTTATGTATAAAAATATTTACACTAACATTATACAGGTAACTAATACGTATCATTCTTGGCCAAAAAATAAATAAATAATAACTCGTTTTGATCAAAGTTTTTAGAAGGTCAAAAATATTTTCTTTTTCTTAAGGTAATTGATCAAATTTAAATAGCAAACGGTTTCTTTTCCTCAAACTTTTGTGAAAAGCGTCTTGATTAAAAAATTTAGTTGGCTTAAAAATACTTTTCTGAATATATTGATCAAACACAAAATAAAAATATTTTGTATGCTACGTCGTAGAACAACATATATGCCATGTTGTTTTTTCTTTCTCTCTCTAATGATCTTATGGGATTATGATTAAGCTACATATATTCCCAAAAAAATATCCCAGCAAAAGGAATGAGTAGTCATTGTTACATATATAAATACAGCTAAAGGATTCCTTGCATCTTATGGAATATTGTTTTTTTTTCTTTCTCTTTTTACGAATAACTTAAAACTCTAATTAAATAATATCATGAAAATAAAAATAAGTAATAATTTCTCTTTTCAAACCAAAAAAAGAAAAAAAAAGAAAGTAAAAATAGAATCTTAGAGAGGGCAAAAAGACTAACCGGGCGGGTGCACCGACGATGCCGTGGATGATGACATGCGCCACGTGTACTCCAAGAGGTTGAAACTCCTTTGCCAGACATTGGGATAGCCCTCTCATTGCAAACTTTCCACAGCCTAACACAGAAACAAACACAAATTTCATTAGTTTAAGGAAAAATAGTATGATATATCCGCTTTTAGTTCGTAGCTAATATATTCCTTGTTATAAAAGTAGCTCATATATATCCTTATTTATAAATAAATGACTCACATATACTTTTTTTCTTTAACGGAAATGAAAAAAAAGATAATTTTAATCTAAACTTTTTATCATTTTTTTCTACAATATATAACCCATATGAGTAAATTTAATCCTCGTCAAATATATTTTTTTGACTTTTTTTTATTTCAATGACTAATTTAGAATTATTATTTTGACAATCAAATTTATTTATATTTCACTAATATTCTTGTAAAACTTATTGTAGATGACCAAATTATTTTTTACGAATACAAAAATCAAATTACAATATAGACAAAAAAATAGTTTAATTTTTTTTCTTTAAACAAAGAAATGAAAGAAAAAATAAAATAAAAATAAGAAACTCAAATAATTATAATAAAAGAAGTCAAAAAATAATTTATGTATTAAAAAATTAAAATATACCTTGAATTTTGATAGAAGAATCATATATACCTCTAAATAATTTTTAAACAAATTAAAAATAATAAATATAAATTTAAAACTAATATTTTAACTTCCGTTAAATGAAGGGTATATGTGAGCCATTTTGTAACGGCGAGGTATATGTAAACCGTTTGTATAACGATAAGGGCATATATGGGCCACTTTTATAACGAGAGATATATAAGCTCCAAATGACAAAATTGAGGAGTATATCAAACCCTTTTCCCATATTTTAATCCTAATTTTGAATTGTAAAATTTAGGTGCAAACAAAAATAATAATATTAAGTAAAAGAAAAATAAATTATGATGATCACGTACATAATTCAGAATAACCGGGTATACCACTAAGAGAAGCTGAACAACCGGTGAAAAGAATTGTCCCTCTTCCTCTTTCCACCATACCTAGAAGTACCTGACATTTTCAATCACAAATCGCTAAAAATTTTAAATTCGTCTCTAATGACATATTAATCCACGAACGTACATAATTAGGAATATGTTGTATGTAAAAAAAAAAGAGACCTGTTGAGCGCAGTGAAAGGCGCCGACGGAGGAGACAGCGAGAGATTTCTCAAAGTGTTCAATTTTAATGTCAGTGAAGTCTGTTGGGTGCCAAAATGTTGGTTGGTGTGCATTGTAAACCAACACTTCCACAAAGCCAAGTGATAGAACTCCCTCGAATGCCTCTCTTATGCTTCGCGAATCTGAACAATCGATACGGATTGCAAACACCTGCGCTTTCTCTTCTCTAGCTATCTCATCAGCAAATTTTGATAATCTACCTGTTCCAATAAATTACAACACACTATTAAAATGTGATCTCAGTACTCTAATTTAGTCATATATATACACCAAACGACAAAAGCTATACATCAATTTATGATTTAAAATTAATGAATTCAGAATACATATAGTTATATTTATTACAAATTTAAATTAACAGAATTTACTCACGATCCGTTTCAGAGAACACGAACCTAAGTCACGGGCAAGGATAGCAACGGTGTAGCCTTCGTGGGCGAACTTGCGGGCGATTGAACGGCCGAGTTTGGGGCCCACACCAACAATGGCAGCAATGCCTTTGGATGAGACTGAACTCGCCATGCTCCGCATCTTCAATTTTAGCCCTCCGTATGGTTTCAATTTTATCGGATCATGTCAAATCAAATGCAGCTTGCAGAATTTTGCGATAGTATACAAGTAAGATTATTTTACCCTACGGAAGGGATAATCGGATGGATTTTTATGTGGCGTACAAGAAGCTTTAATTTACCTCTTTGGCGGTGTCGTAGCTCATATCTGGACAAAAGTAGTGCACAGTACTCACTGCTCAGCTAAATAGCTAATGATTGCGCTACTGATAAGTATCAATCGCATCAATAACTCCCCCATGGCCATGCTCAAAAAAAATTCTTTCTTTTATTCGCTAAAAGTCAATAGTACACACTGAAATTTAGCTGCTCCAAAATAATTATCTACCTCTTTTCATATATTTTTTCCGTTTAAAAAAATATATATTTTTTAATTTGTCCAAAAAAAATGATTTAATTTTTTAAACGATATTTTAATTTTAATTTTTCATGTGACATGTCTATAATCACAAGATCAAAGGATAATTTTGTAATTTTACCTTTATAACCACAAGATTTAAAAGTATTTTTATACTCTTAAACTCCGAGTCAAGTCAAATTAGATCATTATTTGTGAAATGGAGGGAGTACTTTTTTTTCTCATTTTAGTCTATTTATAGAAAATCATTTTTTTATATTTAAATTTTAATTTCAATTTTTCATGATGCATATTTAAAATCATAAAATTGGAGAATATTTTGATACATTTAAAATATTTCCATATAGGAATTTTCTTTTACTTTTTTAAACTCTTTATCAATTAAAATTAAATTATTTTTTATCTAATCGAAGGAAGTATTTTAAATGTTAATTAATTATGTATTTTATCTCCATCCTTACCGCTGTAACAAATTTGAAGTAAGAATAACATGGTGAAAAATGTTTTTTAACATGTTAACAAATTAAATCATAAATGAGAATAAATAATTTAATGATTTTTGAAAAAATCAGTTTCATGTGTACTGTCGATTACGCGTCAGATCCAATTGGTTGCCATTGACTGTATAACAAAATCCAAATCATTGATCATTCCAACAAAAAATAACAAAATATCTCATGTAATTTTATGGATGGAGTTCGCAATATATGTGGTGTACGCGTATTTTTATTAATCTTTTTTATGAAATAAAATATTTTGTTTCTAATAAATTATCGATTTCAAAGCTCAAATCACAGTTAATGATATTTTAAGGCGAAATTTAGCTTTTTAAACCTAACACTAAATCTTGAACCATTTTCCTACTCTTAATATATTTTGTTGTTGATTTCCTAACTAAGAGTATGGCATCAGTAGTTTAAATCTTATTTATTTTCGTGGTGTAACTTTTTAATTTTTCACGTTTTCCTTTCATTCTTTATTTAATTTTTTTTTAGCATTGAGTTGTTTTATGAAATAAATTTTGTAACAATGAGGTATAGATGAATATAATAACTTTTCACCATTTTTTTAATGAAAGTACACTACAGAATAATACATAAATGAAACATTTTAAATACTAAAACGATTTCAAATAATAGATTATTGTTTTTAGTACTTAAAGAAATTTAATATATATAACCATTTTTGTTTTATTTTAATTTTGCATTTAGGGTCAAACAGGCACTACATAAATCAGGTGGAAACATACAAGTCACATCTCTAGTTTCCTTCTTACAATTCTGATTTAAAAGTTGTATATTATACATAATTAATACTCATAAAGTAATTATGCGTGTTGAATTGTTCCTCTTTTAACAATCCTTAGTAGGGAGCGATATTTCTCAAATGGAATCTTATTCAACACGAATTAAAATTAAAATTTTAATATAGATATCAAAACTTAATAGAAAACACAACATATAAAATACTTTTACAACTTTTGAAGATACCTTTTCCTATGTGTAAAGTCAAAGCCTAATCAATTTGCATATATTCCATTGGGTTTTCTTTGGATACCCCAGGTACGTTTACGATAAGCAAGTTACCAAGACAGATGCGTGCTTTTGGGGACGGATATGATTTATTTGATGGTCACGTAGAAAAAACTTACATTATTATTTTTGTTTAGAATATCAAAATAACCAGTAACTGTTATAATCTATGTCATAGTCTCTAAGCACTTTGTGCACACTAACTTAAAGTAAATCTCTATTGTGTAATAACAAAAAAAAATATTACATCATCTATAGTATGTAAAAGTTATACTTGGTTAATGCATGTAAATTTGAGTTATCAAAAGAAAGTAAAAAAATATAAACTCTTAGGGCTTGGTTAAAAAATGTTTCAAATATAACTCAAACGTGCTATGAAAAGATCTTATTTTTAATGCATAATGATTAAAAGTTACTAATTTGAATTCTGATAGTACATGATAAATAGAAGTAGAAATTTCTCTACTTGATAGTACATCATAAACTTGATTTTGATTATGGATTGAAGGATTCTGAACAAATTCTAGAGGTATCTTGTGAAAATGATACAGGATAAAACATTCCAATAAAAGTTTTACTAATATATACTTTTATTTTGTAAAAAGTGGGGAATATATACTTCTGCAAAAAAAGAAAATCAAGTTCTTTAAATTAATTGGTCCAATATTGTCAGTGTTTTGAAAAGGAATCCAATTATTGGAGAGGACCATCATGGTATAAAGTTTACACTTTAAAATCTCTTCAAATATCATTGTGTGCTTAAGTGATCCACGTCGACTCATTGACTAAAATGAAATGCATCACTTATTCTCCACTCTACGTACGCCTTAAACAAGAAAAAAAACGTTCTTTGCGTGGCCAATTCGAGTAGGCGTTTAGTCATAAAATTTGAGATCTTAATTTAAATATATATTCAAAATAAAGAAATTGTTCTATCATATATAAAGATTTCTTAAAGGATAATTAGTTATTAGTAGTGTTATTGGAATGTTTATTAAATTATGTGTTGTCGAAAAGTTTGTACAAGCAATCTCATACATAGTTACAAACATATATTTATAACAAAAATGAGGATATTCATATTGTTAGGAATTCATATTTAAGAGGAAATATATTATTCCTCATAAGTATTAGCAAAACGTACAAGTAAAATAGAGACACTATCGATTGAAAGTAACACCTTTAAACTTTTTTTCTTCAACGTACAAATTTAAACTTAGAATCTTCTTTTGTAAAAATAAAATAAAATATAAATATTTCTAAACCACATGAAATTACAAACAAAAATACTTTGAAACATATCGAATACTTACCAAATTAAACATTAGTGGAAGAAAATATTGATTTCTTGAATAATAATAGAATCGTTTTAAGCAAATAAAGTGTATTTGTGGATCCAAGTGGCTTTATTCCATTACTTTTCGCCCAAGTAATCATCAATATAGTCTTAGAAAAAAAAATAGAGTCTTTGAACCCACATGTCCTTATATGTTTTAAAAGTTGTGATCTATTTTGAATTTAATTTTTTCAATAATTATTGTTTTATCTATATAATATGAATTCGCTCTCTTTTTTAAGATTAAGTAAAATAATAAAGAAAAGATATTCAAAATAGATGTCAATCTTTGAAATTACAATAATATGTGGTATTTATGTAAAATTATAGCCTATTCGTACATATACAAACAAGGATATACTTTTGAGGAAAATATTTTACAATTTTTCATATATAGTTGTTTAAAATTCTTTTGGAAAATAACTTTAATTTGAATAGAGAAAAATAACTTTTTTTATTGCACTATTAAAAAAACAAATTACACAAACTATACCTTAAATGTCCTTCCCATATTTTAATACAACACATTTTGTCCAATTCTTGTAGCTCACACTACGGAACTACCTCACACTTCCTATCCACCATCTTCACCTTACATAATATTTATTTAAATTATATTCAACATTATTATGTAATATTTCTTTTTATTCATATACTAAATGCAAAAAATATATCGGCAAAAATTAATGAAGTGGGACCACTCCCTTTGGCAAATGAGGTGGAAAATAATCACTCATCTGACTTTTTGTGCCAAAAAACATGGGACCTGTCGTATAACACATTTACGGCAGGTTAAATTTTTAAGTTTGAGCTCTCAATTTATTTTTACTTTTTTTATTTGGTGTTTGGTACAGGAGTGGAGCTATATGGATGTCTTATTAAATATTTTTTATCAGAAAATAATATCACAAATTCAAGTAAAATAATAACATATTTATAGTTCAGTGATTTTAAATATTTAGAAACAATAAACACTTCAAGTGTTAACGCCTTGAATTTCACTAACTTTGAATTTTCTGATTAAAATAAAATACGTACTTATCAGTATCACTCTGTCAAAATTGAGAAGGCCTTTAAAACTCTTTATAACAAATTATTCAAAATATAAAAAAATAAACAGATATAAAAAAAAAATCTAAGAAAATTCTGACTGTGGTCCAACAAGGATAGAGTTTATCCCTTTATCAATGATGAGTAGATATCAAAAAATGTACTTCGTTGCAATAAAAGTAATAAACACTCGAATAATTGAGTTATTTTAAATAATAAATTTTAATTTAATGAATATGTTTTGTTTTGATTTATTTTTTTTTTTAAAACTCTCCTATCAATAACTTTTTGATAAAATTGTAATGCACCATCAGAGTCTTTTTAAGAACTCCGTGGCGAGGGCCAATTCCGGATTAATAATGAGAAGCCGTTAAATTAGTAGCAAAGGCATTAGGACGGAAGGTTGGTTGAACCGGGCGATAGCTTTGCAATTGATAACTCAATAAGGTACGCCATCCAATATAGACATAGATGAATGTTACATTAATTTAAGAAACAAAAACGACTAGATATACTAAAATTGAACCCATATATATCAGAAAAAGATGAGCAACAAAAAAATAGAGAAAAAAAATAACAATCTGATTTGGTGAAAGCAAAAAAAAAAGATGAATAAATCCTTCTACACTTTTTCTTTTGCATTTGTCAAATGTCCGCATTTTTTTTTTCACTTTCAACAATGTATTTGTTATTTTAATATGTATTTATAAGGTTAACCAATAAACAGAATTAAGATGAAATAGAAAAAATACAAAATAATTCGAGTTCACTGTAATTACTGTGTCTCCTTAAGAAATTTAATCTCTTCACTGTACCCGAGGTTATGGATTAATTTCTCCCAAGATAAAACCGATTAAACCTGTTAAAAAAATAGCGGTTCCTCAAATTTCTTTAACTTCAGCGAATTTCAGAACAACAACAAGTGATTTATTTGAGAGAAAAATATATGCAGAGAAGAAAAATTTCAGTGTTTGAAAAATCATAAATTG